TTTTAACGAATAAAAAATAAGTGTCTTCATGAGCATGAATATATATAAATCCATAATTAAGTTAGCGGAAACTTTGAAGGAAAAGAGCTAAAAATTGTTATAATTTAAAATCCACTATCTCCATGAAGCATAAATAATTGATAAGGAAAGCGAGAATTCCGATTCCACTTAGATGTCTCATTAAATATCATTTTAATAATAGCTAAAATGATATCCCTCTTACAAGTAGCTTGAATGACTATGATTCTCAAAGTATCGGTAATCCTAAGTTATTCGATATTACCTGCAGCCGCATTATAAATCAGGTGAATTTAGTAATGTAAAACAGATTAATTAGAGAATAACTGGTTTTAAGGCATCGTAAATACACTAAAAAATGAATAGAAATTAACTTAAAACGATAAAAATATTTAAACCGTGAAAATACATTAAGTCAACCAAAGCACGAGATTGCTTGCACTGCCAAGTTTCATTGCACTTGAATTTATTATGAAATTTCACTAGAAATTGCCAGATATTCAACATAATTACTATCGAGCTGTTTAATAATCAAGACAAACCGACGAATAAATTGTAACACACAAATAATTATTTAACATTTTTATAAATATAAGGCGAGGAATTATGATTTAAAAAAAATTGACTGAAAACAAGGAAAAACTAGTTGAAAAATATAACAGCAAGCTTTCAACAAATGAAATTAAAAGACAAATCAGTGGTATTATACAAGCGGATTAGTTTCACAATAAATCAATTAACTGTAGCAGCATTATATAGTTTTATTGTGCAATTCCTCTATTGCAGTGCTAAAGAGGCAAAACGAATTTTGTAATGGTTTCCGACAATGTATCGGTAACAAAAGAGCAAAAACCTTTTACACGAGTTCACAAGCCCATTGAGGAAACAAGAGTCGCTTTAAATAGACTCGATTTTTAAGTAAAATGCTTGAAAACAGAGAAAGAAAAACGATCGTGGAAAAAACTGTAGCAAGGAGAACGGTTTAACTAGAAATTCTTCCTCCCATTGTATTTTAGCGCGGTCCCACCACTGTTTTCCTAGTCGAAGAACAATGATGTGGTTCTTCTTCCATACAGTTGGAGCGACAAATCGTGCGGACGGTTTTATACCAGGTGCGTCAAACACCTGTTGTTTGCTCAAAACGAAAAATGAAAAACGCAAGTGTAAGTTTATGGGGAAATGCAATTTAATTTGCTGATATCCAACTATACGCAACACATTTACAGGGATTTCTCTATAGACTAGGCAGGATTTGAACAAATTTATGATTCCTTAGTCCTGCAAGTATGCTCTAACGCAATATTCCTTTTGATAACTCAGTGAAAACATTATTACATTTAATATACTTGTTAAATTGCCTGAATGATTTTATAAACCGAAAATAGTTTCAAATATTAATCTTCACTTAAAAATCCCAACAATTTTAATGCAATTGAAGAGATTATTTGCAATAAGGAATGGTTTCAGGTGTTGAGTTGAGCAAGGTTTAAATGGTTATATGTTAGTCTTGGGTGAAAAGAAAGCAGATTTCAACCCTCCAATTTTTAGGTACGTAACCGACGACCGATTTAGAAGGCTGTTTTCAGAAACATTATATCGTACAAAATCATACATACGTACAAAGTCATCATAGTCAACGTCATTACAAAAATGCTTTGGATAATCTCTTTAGGTGCGGCAGAAAAATCATCGACTCCTTTCAAGCAAAAATGTATTTATTGAAGATTGAAAAATAAAGCATCGTAGCGAAAACATTAATAGAAAACGGTTTATAAACATTAAAGAGAAATTATAATTTGAGAAAGTTAAAATATATATAACTATTTTTTGCAGATCAAAGGATAAAACGCTTCCAAGACTGTTTCTTTGCATGGTTTTTAGGTCGATTATCTCCACAATCGATGCACAATTAAAGCGCAATGGTCTTTCAAGCTTGTGAATGTTGTAAAATTGTCATACGGAAAGAAAAAAAACGATATATAAATTTGACAGATTTGGCTGGAAAAGGTTGGTCCTCCATATAGTTCAGACTTATCACCATGTGACTTGTCAAATACAGTGACAATAAAAAATCAGTCCCGTTCATACTTGTTATTTCTTAGAGTTACACACCTACAATGAATTGGGTGTTTCAGACCTTATGCGGAATTGAACCAAAATTCAACAAGATGCTAGACCACCAATACGACGCTTTACTGCAAGAAGTGAAGGAAATGTCGGTGCTGTGAAAACCAGTGCTTCTGAAGTTGGAAATTTGTCGATTCCATGACTTTCACAAGAGTTACACCATTCAAACATCAGATTTGGTATACTTAGGTTTATATTCGTACAAGATTGTGTTGACTCAAGAACTGAATCCACTTGATTATCAAATGCGTGGTTTATTGCCAGGTTCTGCTTTAGGGAATTGGTGTAGAATTTGGAGAAACATCGTCTTTATGGTCGAAACAGTTAAAAGATTTGGTGAATAATGAAAATTGGCGCTCTTGGTATGAATATAATCTGCAAGATGTTCATGAGAAGAAGCCTTTGCATCCAGAAAAAGTTCCTGCTTGATGTAGCTTATCGAATGGATATTTTTATGAAATGAAGCTGCTGTTTCGGTTGATACCAATGGCGAGCGCCATCAAACGATGTTAACATATTTTTTATGGCCACAATAGAACGAAATGGATTTGGAAAGCTTGTGGTTTCATTCAGGTGGAGCGACACCAGATTTTGCTAATGCCACTCAAAACCACATTACTGGAACAAACGTTTGGTCAATCAATAATCTCAATAAGTAATGCAACTGTTAATTGGCCTCGTAGAAGTTGTGATTTAAATCCACTAGATTTCTTCCTCTCGGGATATTGGAAGTCGTTGGTCAATGAGACCAGACCTCGACCTATTGGTGCATTGAAATTAAATATTGAACGCTGATCTACTGAAGTTAGAGCCGTTTTGTTGGAGAAAGACATAGAAAATGGCCTGCATCGAAACCACTCCTGTAGTCGATGATAGACATTTGAATTATGTGTTATTCAGAACATATATGGCATACGTTGTTCATCGAAGTAAATAAAACAGTTCGACATTTCAACTAAATTTTATTTTAAAAACATCGCCCTTATCGGAAAACCAACCATTGTACGAAAGAACAAACATGAAAAGGATGAATGCTGTAAATAGAAAGACCGCTCCAAATGCCAGCAAAATGTAACGACTTCCATAACTGAATCATACTCAATCCTCTTTCGCGAAAATTAAATCGGGTATGAAAACGATCATACCCGCGGAATGGCTGAAATCTGAATTTTTTACGCTCCCCAAAAAGCCTAATGCTGGGAAATGCAGCGAGTTGCGTACAATAAGCTTGATGAGTCATCTACTGAAGATTTTCCTGAAGATAATTCACAGTAGAATATTTAAACTGTGTGAGGAACGGATGTCTGAAAACCAATTCGGCTTTAGAAGGGCTGTAGGGACTAGAGAGGTCCTGTTTTCGATCCAGGTGCTGTTTCAGCTATTCAGGGATGTAAACGCATGTTTTGTGAGTTACAGAAAGGCGTTTGACCAAGTGTGTCACAAAAATGATGGAAGATCTGCAAAAAGATGGCCTGGATGAGAAGGACCTCAAAATCAGCAGAAATCTCTACTGGAATCAAGGGGCTTCTGTTAGGGTAGGGAGAGACAACGGAAGAGATACAAATATTGCGTGGTGTGGGACAGAGGTGCATACTGTCCCCTGTAATTTTCAATCTGTACTCGGAAGGCATCTTCAGAGAAGCCCTGCAGGATGCTGAAGCTGGAATCCTACTAAATGGAGAGCGATTGAATAACATAAGGTATGAGGATGATACCGTTATTTTTGCGATGACCTAGCTTCCTTGCAACTCCTAATGTACTGTGTTACATCATGCAGTCGACAATATGGTTTGGAAATAAACACCTACAAAAAGTTAATGATAATCATTAAAAATCAAAACACCCACGGTTCTTTATTGGTAGAGGGAACTCCTTTAGAAAAAGTCAACAAATACACCAGATGCCAGAAGAAAGAGCCAGAACAGCATTTATCAGGATGAAAAAAGTCTTTACCAGCCATGACTTTCGACAACGGAAATTCGCCTATTGCGATGCTACGTGTTTTCTACCCTTTTTGTGGGGTCAAATCGAGGACGCTTGCGGAGGCCTCCTCCAAAAAACTCAAGGCATTTGAAATTGGAATACCTTGGACAGAGAGAATAACGAATACGGAGGTGCTGATAAAGATGGGAAAGGAAACAGAAGTCCTGAATACAGTTGAAACTCGAAAGCTACAATATCTGGGACATATAATGCGCAATGAGAGCAAATATGTCCTTTTGCAGAAGATCCTCCAAGGCAGGTATGTGGAGCTAGAGGACTGGGCAGAAGGAGATTATCGTGGTTGAAAAATTTAAGAACGTGGTTCAACCAATCAACCACTCAGCTTTCCGCGCCGCTGATAACAAAGTTCGAATTGCCCACATGATAGCCAGCATCCGGAACGGAAAGGCACTCTAAGAAGAAGAAGTTACGATCGGCAAGACCCTTAGAAGATAGCGCACTGATGACAATAATGCGAAACCAATGGTTTTTTGTGTGGCAGAAAAATTAGTTCTGGAAACTTCATTTACTTTCAGACCAAGTAACATCAAGTAGAAAAAAGGTCTTAACAGAGGCAAATTTTCTACACTGAGGACTCGAGAATGACTTCATTTCCCTTGCATTTTTCCTTCTAATCAGCCCCCAACCAGTGGGTGGAAAATGTAGTGTTAGATATGGGTGCTATTGCTTGCTCTCCCTGTTGCTGGTATGGGTTCCGAGCACCAACTATAGTTCGAGTTAGCGTTCCGAGTCAGTTGTCACAACCAGTGAGCTCCGACTATGACTAATAGGTGCCCATCAGAGCACTGTCACGGTACTACAGGTGCAAAGACCTCTCGCGGGGCAGGGGTACTACCTGTCGACGCGAACCGTCCATGGTTCGCAGTACGAGTCGAGTTGTCCAGACGATTGGACGCGAATTCGCCCGGTACTGCCGGCAGTACCGGTACGATTTGGTACTACTTGCTCTGCCTTTGTTTGATGTGCTTTCCAGTTACTGTTTTACCGGTTCTGATGCGTTAGTCAATTTGTTTGGTACATACTATCGCCCGGTTTTAGTACCCACCTGTAGCGAGGTTTTCCCCAGTACTGTTGCTGTGGGACTAATTTTATTTTTGGTTTCGCCACCACTGATGTAAGTATAATTTTTAATTGGTGATTCAACATGCATTTAATTAACTCTAATAATTATCGACTTTTAAGTTCACAAAACCCCATAACACGCTGCCTAGTACTTAAGCTAATAAATCAGTCATCTATTTAGGGCAGGATGATTCGATTTTGATAATTGCTGGATACGGAAGTGAAACTAATTTTTTTCAATGTTGTATGTACCTATTAACTGGATAAACGATTCTCGAATGCCGGTACTTTTGCTATTTGAAAGTTCGGAACTCATTCGTCAACAAAATATTATTTGTAGTTTGATTAGAAGCGATTGCAGTTCAAGTGCAATATGAATGAGTGTGATGTTGGTGCGTCCAAGATTGTTGCTTGAATATTACTTGTCCGAAACTCAACATAAAGTCGACCAAAAAATTAATCAAATATTTGAACAGTAGGTACTTCATTATCTACCTAAGAAAATGAAAGCACCATAAAATTGATCCCAATATTTTCACATTCATTCATCTAAGGATGTATTAGATAAAATAATACCAGCAGAGTTAGGGAGGTTTCTCATATTTCTTGATACATGTTGGGTGAAATATAAATGTAGGTATTTTGCGGTGATTTTCGAAAATTAAATGATGCAGCTGCTACTGTGCACAAAGCAAACTTAAAATCTTAGATCTACTGTCAATATGAGCTTCCATTTTCTCAACGCAATGAATGAAATTTCGCAGTTTGAAGTTTTTAAATAGCATTAAGCCAAGCTTTAATGGTCATCTGATATACTTTTACTGCTGGCGAAATTTAAAAAATCCGTTAGTAGGTATGTGATTTTGCCTTGGCATTATGTACATTTAAACGCTTTAAAGTACAACTTTTCTAGCTGCAGGCAATAATTTATACCTTGACTCGAGTTATCTTCCTTGTACATGATTCACTTCAATTGATTTAAAAACCTTGCAAAATGGACTTAAACAAACTTTGACAAAAAAACAGTTTCAAAAAGTATTCTATATAAAATATATTTTGATGTTAAAAATACTTAATTTAAATTCGAGTACTCATGCTTTCACCTAAACTAACTTTGCAGTCTTCGTTACAGGAACCGTTCAAAAATTTCTATTTGAATTGTTTACTCCTTTACATCCTGGAGATGATTTGAATTGAACTCATATGAACTTTTTTGTAACGTATTTTTTGCAAACTAGGCAAAATGATATTTAAATATCATGCCTAAACACGATGATAAGCAAAAGGCAAGAACGATTTAGTTATTAAGTTTATATTCGCTTCACTATTAATTACTAGGTATGCATGGAAAATTGTGCAAAAAATTAAAACTATTAGCTTCTCATTAAAAGTGTATAGGTATATTTTTAAGTAATTTTTAAGTAAAGTCGTGGAATTGAATATTTGTTTTTCTTTGGGACACAAAGTAAAGGTAGCTTTAAGTTTCCTATCTTAGTTTGGTGATAAATTTTAAAGAAGTGACAAAAATTAGTTTATCTAACAGTGCCCAGTCCGATTTTATTAATAATATTTCCATATGACCAATCCATAATTCTAATTGGCTGACGTGCGTTTTTTTATAGTTCTTAATAGTTGCGATGTATTTTATCTATGAGCCTAAGATGTATTAATAATATCTGGTTCTGGTTAAGGTAGAAAAACAACCAAGGTCTTCAAAAAAGAAAAGGAAAAAAAGAAAAGAAAAAAGTTTAAATTTCTGACGAAAATTATTTTGGTGAAATCAATAACAAATCAAATGTAGGTATTAAGTAACACTTCGAAAAAGTACGTTTGAGTTCTAGTCACCATGTATACATGTGTTATGAATATACTTTGCTATATCTCAAATATTCCGATTTTGGATTAAAGACCTTTCGCAAATCGAAATTGATGAAGAATTGACATTCCCGCTTCTAGAATGTAAAACTTAAATTTGTTAAGTGATTTTTTACTTATGTCTAATAAGCCAACATTCCAAAAGCACAATTATCATTATCATAGAAACATTATGCAAATGCAAACAATCTTTATAATATAAATAAACTTACTTAATAAATCAATCCTTGATACTAAGTTTGGGCCAGACGGCCTATTCAAGACTTTCACAAAGTATTTTGTAAAAAGGCTAAATTATTTTCAGTCACAAAACAGTTTAGCGCGATGAGGAATAATAGCTCTTATATTAAAATTATAAATTTATTCAGCAACAACTTAACAGACAGTCAATTTACATGTAATTTCTATACGCGCTGGTAAGAAGGAAGGAAAACTTTTCTCATGATTTCCTGCTAATAATTGCTCCGGATTTAATGAGCATAATCATGTATACATAAACAGGTTCCCAATAACTCTATTGTTGAATAGAAGTAGGCAACAATACATCTAATTAAATCCTGTTGGAGAAACTCGATGGTTTCGTGTACAGAGTATTGCGTTTTTAGTTGATAAAGTTTTGAGAATTGTAAATAAAGATAGTATCCACGTAGCTTTGTTACAAAAAGAAAGATACTAGTTACGAAGCAAATTTTACCCACCTGTATTCTATTTCTATTCCACATTAAGAATTTAAAAAGTTCAATGCTTGCTAATCTTGCACTTCCAAAAACGCAAATATGCAAAATATATTAAGACTTAATGAATAAGTGTATCAGTTATGTTCCAATTATTTTATCAAATGCCTCAAAACCCGCAATTGCCTCAAATTAAGCTCGGGAATTTTGAAAATGAAGGACAAAAATGTGCTGTGACTACAGCTACCTTTCTTATAGTAGTATCATTCTGTAGTGTAGTATATAGTAGTGAATAGTAGTATCATACTAGTACCATTCTCTAATGCAAGATTCTGCATAACCAAACTGCATTATTTGATTATTTCAATTCAGAAGCACTAAATAAGCTTTCACTTTCCCCTTGAGTCTATAGATAAAACTTTTTTCATATTTATCACGATTGACTTTTATATCTCACTAATACTATAATAGCGCTTTTATTGATGTTAAAAACTGATCCAAATAATTACTGCGTAATTTGTTTAAATAGTTTCTTATAATAAATAGAATATTGGTTTTCTTTTGAATGTAGGTACAGTTCAAATGAAAATAATTCTCTATTTTCAAGCCACGTGCCCACCACACTACTAAAGTCAGGAAAAAAGTGCTAATAAACTGATTAGATAAACTAAAATAGAAGCGGTATGACTTATTTTTGAAACATTTCACCTTCAAACGAGCGGCTGAATTGGAATTGACCGTTTAAGTTAGTTCTTACGTTCCTCAGGACGCAATCCTTGACTCATAGTTATATCAAGTTTTTATGATAAATTAATAATCCGCTCACATCCTATTTTGAAAGTTTCAATTGGTTGCTTATTTCGATCTTTTTGAAATATATATCATAAAATGATACCAAAGGAAGAAAATAAAGCAAACATTTTAGGGCTACCAGAATTGTACAACTTAGAGAATTTTACAAAAGCTAGAGGCAAACGGAGACTGTTCGTGATCTATTGTTTTTTCTGTTTAAACATCACACGCTTACACTTTTTCAATCATTCTTTCGTATTTCAACCCTAAAAGGTCCCACTGTTTTAACTGTTCTAACCTGAACGTCATTCTTCAGCATTTTCGCATTTACTCAAAGAACATATCAACACATAAGTACTTTTTTCAATTAAATTCAACAAAATTAAGCAGATCTGATTGTAAATAAAAATGCTTGTCACTTCAAAGCAATTGAAAGCAGATACGCACATGCTTTACTTTATTTTTTTTATTGAGGTACTGCTTTCTCCACTTTTGTTTCATTTTTTTATGGTAAAAGCATTTCTTCGAGTTTCCTGCAAGTTGACAATTTTTTCTGTTACAGAAACACTTGAAACTACCGTTGAGGCGCAACAAGATTAATTTGAGGTAGGTAGTTGAAATATTTCGAGCTCAAGCCTAAAGACTGTCGTCTAGAGAGAATCACTTCAATGACAAGCAAATGGTGAGTTTTTTAATCATTGTGGTTTTTCAAGGCAAATAAACATCAACAAGTCTTGCAACAAGCAAACAAATTGATAACTAAGAATTACAACAATTTGTAAAAATTTCAAATCAATCGGTAGCCAATTGAGAAACATATAAAATGAATATTTAAATAGTCCCTCCATTTATGTTACTAATAATGCAAGAAGTTATTAATATAATTTAAAAGGATTTAATAATCTATGAAGCAAAATGAATTGATGAAAACCATTAGTAAAGTAAAACAAGCGCTTTAAAAAAACATGTCAATTTGTGTGTTATTTATAGTTAAGCAAGATCCAAATAAGCCAATAAAAACACAAATATACTTGTAACTTAATTTGGCATTATTATCGTAACGATTTCGTTATATTCTCGTTCGTTTTCAATTCAGTCCCTTAATTGGGACGCTTCGGTATTTCATTTCCGTTCGATTCAATCTATCGAAAGTGGGCAATCAGTAAGAAAACTGCAACATTATTTCGAAATGGTTTACAGGAAATTACCGGTGTTGATACACATTGAACATTAAATTTAAGTACCTTGATCTGCTAAGGAGATATTGGTCATTTAAATGGTCAATTCCTTTTCGAATATACATACCTACCTAAACCCTATCAATTTGCTATACCTCAAACATTTCTTCGGGCTTTTAATTAACGAAAAATTGCAAATCTAGTAAGATGAGAAAAAAGCACATTTGAAGAGCCAATTACTGGTTTATTTATGTTTCAATTAATAATTTATATATATTGTCATTTTTTTGGTTAATCGCTCATTATTTACAACGTGAGCCAAACTAAAAATTGAAAAATTTATTAATTACTCCATTTAAAAAGAGTGAACAGAAATACCGTCAAATAACTTATTGTTAGTCATAAGAAAAACCTTTGGCCAGTTTTCTGTTTTTTCTTGAATCTCTTGAGGTTTTTACTGCCCCTGCATTGTTTTAATAATTTACTGAATTTGCAATGGATTAATGGAAATACATACCTACTTGCAATCATCTAATTGAGATTGAAAAATGTAAATAGTTGTTCTTTGCTATTTCTTTTTGAAAACAGAATACAAGTCATGCAGCGTATTAGTTGGCAATAATTATGTTAATTATGATTTATCGTTTTGAATACACATTGCCAGCCAACACTTAATTCCGTTATAAAGATATATTAGTATTACTTTGTTGCAAATCTTGGCCAATGCACCTTCATACATCAAGATATTCACTAGCACCGTTGATATAATAAAATATAATTAAATTCAGTAATTGAGCATAGAGGCATTGTATACGAACTCCTCGAATTGCATGATTGTTATTTGATTATATGGCAGAAAATTATATTATACACATCTAGGCTTACTTTAGCAGAAAACTCGACTCCAGATTTTTTCATCGACCTGCGAATGGCACTAGAAGAATTCACGGGTTATTTCAAGTCCCGTGTTCTTTCGGTGCCATCCCCGGGGAAGATGGTTTCATCAAAGAGGAAGATTGAAGATTTGAGGCCAAACCGTGCTTCAAAGTCAAAATATATGTTTTCTAATAACATGAGAAGGGTTGCAGGACAGATAAAACACTTAAGGATCCAATAGAAAAATTATTTTGCTTTCAGTTAACAAACGAAACTTGATAATTTGCAAATAGGAAGTAAAGTTAGTCTTTGTGCCAAAATTCATCATACATTTTGAACTATGCGTCACTTCGAGGCCAATTCGCACGCAAATTCAAGAAATCCGATCATGAACAGTGACGAGAAAAGCGTCCCAATATTAAATTAAACCAATTAAACCAATTAAATCATTCAATGGAATTGCCAATATTTTAAACAACATTATTTAAGGTGAAATTCTGGATTTAATAAAAATAGTGAAAAAATTGCACTATCCACATGTTAATTAATTGATGATCAAGTACTATCGATGCTGAAAAAACTGGAGATTATTTATAGATAATTTGATAATAAGGTTGTAATGTTTTGGTTTCCTTAGAGCTAAGTATATTGCCAATCAGTCTCACAAAAACAATTTAACAAAATGCTTTGCTAATTATGGGGATTGAAATACATTGACCACAACAAACGGCAAATAAAATTTTGACAGAAAAAAAAACATAACAAATACTTTAAAATAAAGTACACCTGAATAAAAAATGCGTTTGAAGTTTTGTGAAAAATTTGTTTTTTAGGTTTCGAATTACTTTTGATCTAACTACTTTCACTTTTTTGTGCCTGATACATCCTTATTGCCTGATTGTTGTTACAAAAAATGAGTCAATATTATAGAAAATGGCCAGTATGGGAAAAATTCATAAAATGTGTCTTAACGCCAATCAGCATGTGGGGCCAAAAAATGCCAACTGACTTCATAAGATGGACTTATTTTTTTAAATGTTTTTCAGGTATTCGACCTGAAAGTTTCATAAATACATCCATCTTCCATCTTTGGGTAACACTAAGTTCATAATAAACATTTGATTGTATAGCCAGTCATACAACAAAAACTATTAAAAATACAAAAATAAAATAAAAAGGTTAAATCCTCTTTACTAGGTGTTGTGAAATCGGAGAGTTATCAAGAAAGCAAATTGTTTGTCGAACATGTGCAGTTATCTGCTTTATCTTAGATGTACAACCGGCTTGTTGATCAAGAACGCATAAGATGTATACATTTTCTTTTGAAACCATCGGTATACAAATCATATTTGGCTAAATGGGCTGGTTGAACGTCATAAAATTATAGGCTGAAGGTTGTTTCGGTTGATTTCCCATTTAAATATGTCCAGGTATGCTATTAAGATTAGTCATAGATTATTGAATTATTATTTCATATTTTGCGAGCAAGTTTTTATTAATGATAAGAGTTCCGTTTGTAAAAATGTACCCTTTTCATTTTGAATAAAAAAATACCTTCAAGTAACTTCTTAAAAAAATCAGTAAAAAAATATTCCCAAATTTAATATTCATCACATGTGTCCTACGACCATCCTTTTGAAGCCGCCTTTGAATTAATTAATTGAAGGCAAATTAACAATGCTTTAGTGAAACCGAAATTTTACGGTTCTTAATTACAGTAAGTGAAACGCGCAAAAATCAACTTAAAGGAAGTTAATGTTCATAAAACTGCACGGTGAGACGGCAATCTTTTCATTCTCCGTAGAATGACTAACGACTTACAATTAACAATACTCTGAAGAGCATTAAAAAGTAAAAGCGTGAAGAAGGTGGCTCAATACCATACAATTATACCTTGGTAAATGGATTTATTTGTATTTAATAAAAATATTATGCCATTTTGATTTAATGTACATTTGGCATATTGTTAACGGTTAAATATTTTAATTCGATTTTTATGAGATAATAAAATAAAGTATAGTTCTTCCTCGCATCCTAATTAAAATTATCGAGTATATTTGTTACGGGAAAGAGGAACATATTTGATCTTTCCCCAGAGCCTACTTATCTCTGACAAGGAGAATCTTTAAAGGTAGTACAACTGTTAAGAATAACAAATAAAAAACAGTTGGGTAAAAACAATTGGGAAATACTACTGGATGGGGGCAACGAATTTTTGTTGAAAAATTCACAAAATTCTGAAAGTAGATCTAGGAATAACCAAACATCGATAAGCTAGCCAGTAGTCAAAATTCCAGAATAAATAAGAGAAAGTTAATGTCTGAAAGTTATGCAAAAGCAGATGTTTCAAAAAACGAATCAAAGTAGAATGCAACTAGACAAAATCGCTTAAAATAAAAATGGGTTACATAAAGTAATAAACCGTTTAAAAAACTAATGATTAGAGAAAAATGTGACAATAGCATGCAAATCTAGAACAACTAGTAGCCATTGAAGCAACAGAAAATTGTACGTGGAAACATTTAAAAAATACTCCAGTTAAAAGTAATCAACAAGTTTCAACAAATCATATGAGCCTATAGCAGAAAAAATAAAAAATTTTAAATTATGATTCATGACCCCTAGCAAGTTCCTATATTTGACCATTTAACTAGGTACGGTACACTCAACACCGAAAGCTCTCGACGTCAAACCGAGCAGAAGAGATCTGAAAAAGAGACCTAACACTTGCTATTTGCAGATTATGACTATTTCCTAGAGGAGATCTAGGAAATAAAAATCTTCGAATTAAAATAAAGAAGTTTTATCATTTTCTAAGCCGAAGTCACATAGAAACGCTTCGTTAAAAACATACTCAATTCTTGCTTTCATACAACATACTACACAGGGTAAAACTAATCGAGAAAAATTTAATGCAAAAAATGCGCCATTTAATTAATAGCTGAATTAATTCCTGTAACCAAATGTTTCAAGTCAAAATTATATAAAGTTATAAAGCCCTAAAAATTATCTCAACAAAGTGATGTAACGCAAAAGGTGACTGTCAAGCTTATTGAGATAATGAAGAATCGACGCACACACTTAGTAATGAACTAATGGTTGATATAATTATCTAATTATTGCTTGCTTCTTCTTCATCCTATTTCTTTCAAAGGAAATGCTGGGAAAAATTAAATATTGTGTCGTTGACATATCTGTGATGGTCTAATTTAGACAAAAAACAAAGAAGTAACATAAGATTCCAAAAATACACTTTTTATTTCTATAGTTCTGTGCTATTACATTGTTTTCTTTTTGATTAACCTGCCTGAAATAGCAAGGTTTCCAGCAAATTTCCAGTTTTTCATACGAGTCTTCGTTACTTGGGAAGAATTACATTATACTTTAAATAATTAAAAAATTATATCATACTTTAAGTGTTTTAAAACGAGCTGTCGAAGCGATATTATTTTGCAGTTATTAAATGACGATTTGGGCTCCTTGGTGATAATTTTACAATCATTTTCCATTAAGAAGCATTTCCCGACACAAGTTAATTTTATCCTATCTTAACAATCTGTTATTCAATAATCGAATCTCTGGTTACTTCTGCCCCACATTGTAGGTATCACTAACCCGGTAGTTTTAT